TTCCTTGGAGGCTCAGATGATAAAAGAATCTGCCTGCAATGCGGAAGACCCGGGTTCTATCCCTGAATGGAAAAGATCCTCTGGAGAAGGAAATGGCCACCCACTCCAGTATTCTTGCCTGGAGAATTCCATAGACAGAGGAGCCTGGAGGGGTATAGTCCATGGGGTCGCAAAGTGGCACACGACTGAGCAACTAACAAGGATTAAATGAGATCGTAAACCCATCGTAGTATCTGATACATAAGAAGTGCTCACAAAAATGGCAACTGTTACTGCGAGAAGCGCAAACCCAGGTAATCAGAGGTTGTCTCAGAAATGGTCATGTCAGAGTTTTCCATTTATTGCTCTTCAGTCTACATGGATTAATATTAATAGCAGAGAGCTACCGTTGATAGGCGCTGGTATTAGGCCAACTTGATCGGGGTTGAAATCTTGGCTCCTTCATCAGTAATAATCATACTGAATCTCAGTATCCTCGTTTGAAAAGTGGAGTTGACAGTTCATACCTCATAAATCTGACGGGCAAATTAGTTGAGACCAAAAACCCAGTGAGATAGGGATTGCTAAACTGCAATTCCACCTCACTTGGTTTCCTTCTCCATTGAAAAATATCTCTTTGGAGCTAGTCCTGGAACGGATGTAAATAATCAGGAGACTGGGATACACACTACATATCTAACTAACTTCTTTCTCTTTATATTTATTCATTTTCCCCTTTGCCTCTTCTGAAGAAGCTACAGAACTTTCTGATTATATATATATATTTGCCATGAAATGGAAACTTGTATTAATAAAATCACTACTTGGTTAAGAGGACACAGTGTCAGATTATGAAGAACACAGACTTTGCCGTTTGTCGTGTAAGATGTCAGTCCACTCCTGTCTCTGCTGTCAGCTGGCTGTGTGACTGGTGGCAAACCATTTTCTATCTCTGAACCTCTGTTGGCAGTGCTCTTCTGTGGGATGCGTGACCATTACTTCCTGCCCACCCCAGCCTCAACATCCACTCAGTTGCAGTGGTCATCGTTTGTCTCTCTGTCACACACACATTGGCCAATTGGTCTGATCGAAGCTGAGCCAGTGAAGTCTCCTCCCCAGGAATTCCGACACTGAAACCTAGAAGAGGCGGGTCTCTCTGCTAGCTGAGGAATCTCTAACATGTGACACCCTGGAGTTGTCTGCCACCATGTTTTGTACAATGTAGACTAAGAAGAGAAGAAAGTGGGTCCCAGGTGCATTGAGAGAAGCAGAGAGGAGAGTATAGAAGGACAGAGGTAGGTCTTGGCTGTGCCGCTGTTCCTGGATGCAACCTGTTCCTTAGTCCTTGATGCATCCCTGTCCTTGAGTTCTAATGATTACTTCCCCTTTTGGCTTTAGCCAGATAAGAGTTGGGTTTCTGTTATTTATAAGCCAGATTCCTAGCTTATCCAGAGTTGAACCTATCCTCTCTCAAAAGCCATTTCAGATCTAACATCCCAAGAGCCTTCTCCTTCCCACTCAGGACCACCTTTACCCTCTATGTCAGCTTTTTACCAACTAGAAAAAGGTGCCACTTCCTGCAGGCACTGGTGAAAAACTGTCAATGAACTACTGATGTTTGAAGAACAGGACACTTACTCTAAGAAAATTAGATCACACATGTCTGCGACACAAACTGCACCCCCTTACAGACATGTGTTGTACAACATGCCCACCAGGACAGAGAAGCCCTATTAAAAGTTCCCCAACACACCCTTGAATGCATACATGTCCCAGTGAAATTCTAATATCCCTTTTTTTTTACCATCAAGAAACTGTGCAAGAAAGGGTGAAAACTAGGGTCAAAAGCCTGTGACAACCCCAAGGCATGGCAAGGGGCTAGGAGTAGTCACCCTCATCATCTTCATCATCTCCCCAAATAAGGATATGGAATTTAAGTAGAAATACTCTGATGCTTTGCAAATATAATTTCAAGACAGGTCCTCCAGCCCTTCCCTCCATCTACCAGATTGCCACCCATAAGCTCCTCCCTGGGCATCCAGTTACTACAAAATGGAATTCCATGCATCCTAAATGCTAGTAATGCATACCATAATGTTAACCATGGTTAATCATCTAAATTGGCTTGAGTTTCACCTAGCCCAGTACTCCCTTGTGGTGTATCAGTTGTAGCTTGTAATTTTTTTTCTCACTCATCTTCATGATCGTTATTTCTGGGGTGCCCTGGGGTGCCCTGGTGCTTCAGATTTACATTTCTCGCAGGAGATTGATTTTTCCCACGCTTATACACCAGATCCCAAACTCACATGCCCAGTTACATCCAGAACAGTTCCACTTGCGTGTGTCACAGGTTTCTCAAATTCAACTTCCAAAAATTGAGCTCCTGTGAGAGCCCTGGTGGTCCAGTGGTTCGGACTCTGTGCTTTCACTGCCAAGCGCCTGGGTTTACTCCAGGAACTAAGATCCCACAAGCTGCATGGTCAGTTCAATTCAGTTCAGTCGCTCATACTGGAAAAACCATAGCCTTAACTAGACGGACCTTTGTTGGCAAAGTAATGTCTCTGCTTTTTAATATGCTATCTGGTTAGTCATAACTTTCCTTCCAAGGAGTAAGTGTCTTTTAATTTCATGGCTGCCATCACCATCTGCAGTGATTTTGGAGCCCCTCAAAATAAAGTCTGACACTGTTTCCACTGTTTCCCCATCTATTTCCCATGAGGTGATGGAACCAGATGCCATGATCTTAGTTTTCTGAATGTTGACCTTTAAGCCAACTTTTTCACTCTCCTCTTGCACTTTCATCAAGAGGCTTTTTAGTTTCTCTTCAGCTGCATGGCGGAGCCAAAAAAAAAAAAAAAATTGAGTTCCCTCTAGAAAACCTATACTTCTCCAGTATTCCTTATTTCAAGGGATAGCACAGGGCTGGCATGTATGGTTGGGTTAGTGGTTCATTGCATAAGGGACAAATAGAGGCTGAAATCTAGCTTGCGTACTGCTCGTGAAGTAGCACATCCACGGAACCGTGTCCATCAAGAAAGCATCTTTCTCTAGGTGAGCAAAGACACTATATGGTCTGGACACCACATGTTGCCCTGGCAAGAGCACCACCTGTTGCCACTTTCCCTTCTCTCATACTTTTCTCCCACTCGTATCCAAGTCATCCCAGAGTCTTGCCATTTTCATCTCCAATTCCTGTCCTATGTGCCACCTCTGTTCTGTGTTTCCAGATAGAGCAAATAAAAATACAGAGTTCCCAGTTAAATTTGAATTTCAAATAGACAGTCAGTGATTTTTAGCATAATTATGCCCCATGCCTTCCTTCTGTCCTCTCTTTCCAAAAGAACCCTAGCTTTTTTCTCCAGCCCACGCTCCGCTCAGCCAAGAGAACACATTTCTAGGCAGATGGTCACACCCATGCTCACACCATCACCACTAGAAGCTGCCCCCACACCCTCTCTGTATTTGCTGGACTCAGACACATTTCTTCAGAAAACAAGCCATTGGGATTTGGGGCTTCTTATTTGATATGAGGCTGGGTTTCTCCCTGTGCACCACGAAATATTTAGTTTTCATGGATTTCTTACAAAGTCCAGATTTGGGAGCCTCAAGTAAGTAGTGGCCACCCCACACCCCGGGGAGGCTCAGGCCATAAGCCCTGTGGAGTTCCCTGGGGTTGGAAGAACACAAGACATCTCAAGTGGGCTCCCAGTCTTTCCCCAGAGTCCACTCGAACGTGGCCAGTAGATGCGCTAAATCAGCATCAGAACTTCTAACTACAAGGGATGATGGGGCCGGGGGGTTCCTTTAGTGCATTTCAGGCCCAAATGGGAAGAATGGTCTCAGGACAAAAAGATGTGAGAGGGCCAAGGCAGGGGACCAAAGGGAGAAGGGATGAGTCAAGGGAGACAGTCAAGGGAGAGAGGAGTGAGTCTGGTCAAGGGAGAAGGAATGAGTCCAAAGACTCCATGGTTGGAATATTACTCAGCCATTAAAAAGAATTCATTTGAATCAGTTCTAATGAGATGGATGAAACTGGAGCCCATTATACAGAGCGAAGTAAGCCAGAAAGATAAAGACCATTACAGTATACTAACACATATATATGGAATTTAGAAAGATGGTAACGATAACCCTATATGCAAAACAGAAAAAGAGACTCAGATGTATAGAACAGACTTGTGGACTCTGGGAGAAGGCGAGGGTGGGATGTTTCAAGAGAACAGCATCGAAACATGTATATTATCTAGGGTGAAACAGATCACCAGCCCAGGTTGGGTGCATGAGACAAGTGCTCGGGCCTGGTGCACTGGGAAGACCCAGAGGGATCGGGTGGAGAGGGAGGTGGGAGGGGGGACCGGGATGGGGAATACATGTAAATCCATGGCTAATTCATTTCAATGTATGACAAAAACCACTGCAATGTTGTAAAGTAATTAGCCTCCAACTAATAAAAATAAATGGAAAAAAAAAAAAAACAAAGACTCAATGGAGGCAGCGCCTTGCCCTTCGCAGGGGCTTTACCCAGGACTTGGGTGCCCTGCACTTGGAGGCTACTCCCAGATGTCACCCCTGCACAGTTAGCTGGTTCTTGTGAACCACCAGATTACCCTTGACCTTAGGAGAAGTACTAAGAAGTCAATTACCATTGACCATTCTGAAGTATAATAGGTATGTAGGAGTAAAGAGTTATGATGCCTGTTACTCACTCTCAGATAACTGAGCAAAATAACAATAGTAATAATATGAGAAAAAGAGTGTATATGCCTTTGGACAAACATTAACTACTGTAGATTCTAAGTGAAGAATATGTAGATGTTTGTTGTACAATTCTCAAAACTTTTCTATCAGTAAAGTTTTCAAAATACAAGTGAAGGGAATTCCCTGGTGGTCCAGTGGTTAGAACTCCGAGCTTTCACTACCGAGAGCCGGAGTTCAGTACCTGGTCAGGGAACTAAGATCCCACAAATGGCGCAGTGCAGCCAAAAAATAATAACAATGTTTAAAAAGGCAAACCACAGTGATTTTTGCATCCAAGTCAAACATTTGATTTAGAACAGTTGCACTAACAGAAGCAATCAACAGGAAAAGGCTCTCCAGGGGCCAGTCGGTGCCTGCTTCCTGGACCTGTTTCTGTTCAGGACTGTCTTGGAAAGTCCAAAGAACCTGTGGATAGAGGCACAGTTAAAGGCTGTGCTCCATCACAAGACCAACAGTTCTCAAAGATATACTTGACAGCAACCCACAGCCGTGACATCTGCCCAGGGGCCGCCTCGGGGCGAAGGATACCATCCACTCTGGGAGAGGCTCTGCCTCTCTCCTCTCCATTGTGAAGCCTCTCAGAAGCCTGCTCTTCCAGGCTTGCCTCCAGTTGTTATGCTATTTTTTGAAAGTCCTTTGACCCACCGGCAGGGAGCAAACTGTGTAGCAAGGAGATCGCTGGCTGCCAGTCATCAAGCTCTTTGACTTCTCTTATCTCGCTCTTCAGCATGTTGGCCTTGTGCTTCACCCAGAAAGGCAAGCTGTGGGAAGAAAACAACACCGTCTGAGTCCGCCTGATGCAAATTTGCAAACACCTTCAGGAGACAAGGTACTCCATCCTCCAAAAGTAAGAATCCTTCAATTCTAGAGACCAGGTGTCAACGTCAAGCACCATATTGGGACTTCCCTGGTGATCCAATGGTTAGGAATCTGTCTTCCAATACAAGGGACGAGGGCTAATCCAAGTCAGAGAACTAAGATCCCTTATGCCTTGCAACTAAGCCAGCGAGCCTCAACTACTGAGCCTGCATGCTCTGGAAGCCACGTGCCATAACTAGAGAGAAGCTTGAGCTCCGAAATAAAAGATTTTGCATGCCACAACTAAGACCTGATGCAGCCAAATAAATAAATATTTTTTAAAAACCCATCATATTATTTGTCGTCACTGTCCCTGCCCCAAACCCATGTCTCTTTTGTGTCCCTCTCTGCCCAGGAATCTGAGCCCTGTAGCCTGCACCACCTTGACTCCTCCCTGCCCCCACCTTTGAGTTGGGCTTGGCTAGTAGGAAGCACCCACAGGAGATCAGAAGGTGCAAAGACAGAGACTGAGATGTGTCTTACTGAGCTCCTTGACTCCCACCCTGTCTCCTGAGGTACCCCAGGTCTGGAGCGGCTGTATTCTCCACGGCCACAGCGCCTTTAGAGCAGCCCTTCTCCATTCTCTCACTGTTCTGTGAACCATGAACCCTTCTCCTGCTGTTCAGACCTAGATGTTAGTAACAGTTTCCCTGGTGGGAGTCCCTGGGTGCTTCACGCTCCCACGTGAGTTCCCACAACCTGCCCACTCATTGGTAAACAGTCCTTTCATTAAACTGTCTTCAGAATCCCGGCAAAGTTTGCCTTCTGCTTTCCTCTGGGACCTCAGCTAATACAGATACCGGGCATCCTCCCAGGTCTGTTGAGATTTGAAAGGGCATGTGCTGAGCTGTGCTGTGTGTGATCCAAGAGGCCTTAGGAAGTCTGGCTCCTGGGATGAGTCAGAGCAGCAAGATGAAGAATGCTTTCATCTTTTGGCCGCTAGAATTTTCATATTTGGGGGGAGAAATGCATTATGATTGAGAAAACACCCTGATAAACCTGCTGAAGGTAAGGAAGTCCCTGTAAGAAGACAGAGGAGGATTACCACATGTAGGAATAGATGGGATATCATTTAAAGCTGACAACACAATGATATTGGGTTTGCCAAAAAGTTTGTTCAGGTTTTTCATAACATCTTGTATAAAAATCCAAACAAACTTTTTGGCCAACCCACTAGAAGCCCAGCTAAAAAAATCAGGGCAAAAAGCAATATAGGAAGATATCAGCATAAAGAACCAGTAGAACAAAAAACACAAGCATTCCTAAACATCCAAAGAAATAATTTTTTAACTTTTGTTGAAATAAAATGGTGAAAGACTCAGGGTAAATATAATATACATAACACATGTAACAAACTATTCTGACAGAATTTAAATCAAGTCTGTCAAATCAATAAATGCAAGTGACCCTAAATCACCTCTTAGAGAAACAACTTTTCTTTTCTTTTTTTTTTTTCCCGCCCTGAGAAACTACTTTTCAAATTGACTCACAGAGAAAAATCCAGTTCTATTTCGGACAGAAAGACATAAAACACAGTAATTTGAAAGTCTAAGAATGGGCAAAAGCATATTAGTCAAATGCAAACAAAACAAAGTAAGAGTTGTAATCTTAATATCTGGTTAGGTATAACATAGGACAAAATGCATTAAATGAAAAAAAAAGAAAGATATTTTTGCAATGCTAAAGGCTACTAGTAATAAAGACAGAAACACACTAATATTTGGACATTTTAACACACCAACTCTTAGTCCAAGGAGACCAAATGAGCGGTCAAGTGGACAAAAATGGGTAAGAAAACACAGGGACTAAACAATAAACAATAAGATAAATTTTCTGGGTGTGTATCTAAATTTGCATTCTGACAAAATACAATGTACTTTGTTTTTAAATAATATATATTTACTTATTTATTTATTTGGCTGAATTGAGTCTTAGTTGCAGCTCATGGGGTTAGCTGCTCCATATTACATGGGATCTTACCAGTTTCCCAACCAGACATCAAACCCACATCTCCTACATTGCAAGGTGGATTCTTGACCAGTGGACCACCAGGAAAGTCCCTAGAATACAGTTTCAAATGCACATGGAAAGAGTCCCAAAACTGAACATATATTAGCTCACAAGAAAACTGTGATAAGTTCCATAAAATAAAAATAATAAAAACAATATTTTCTGATCACAAGGTAATACAAGTAAGAATGAATTACAAAATAAAAGCCAAAAAGCTCTCCTACCTAGAAAATCTTCCTATTAAGGAATTCTTTAGTCAAAAGGGAACTGTCAGTGGGAATGACAGAATTCTTCAAAAAATAAAGATAACCTACATATCAAAATATTTTGGTTCAGAATGGAGCAGAGCTAAACTATTAGATCAGAAGAATGAGAACTTCCCTGGTGGTCCAGTGGCTGGGACTCCACATTCCCAATGCAGGGGGACCCAGTCTCAATCCCTGGTCAGGGAACTAGATTTCACAGGCTGAAACTAAGAGTTTGCATGTAGCAACTAAAGATCCCACGTGCTGTAACTAAAAGATTCAGCACAGCCAAATAAATAAAAACAAATATTTTTTTAAAAAGAAAAGATCAGAGGAATGATACTTTCCTCAAATACAGAAATACTAGCTTACTCTATGCCTCGTCAAACTCTTAACCATCCTCCCTGGCTGCACTTACTTAAGTATATGCCTTTTCTTTCCCAACAAACTCTTGTGTTTTGGAAAGCAGGGACCCTGACTGTTTCTCCACATAAAACCCCTCATGGTGCACACCTAGAATAACACGTGGCATCTGGCAGTCTGTCAATCATATCTATTGAAGATGTAAGCAGCCGAGTGGCTAGACTCCATAGACACTTGACCTTCAAAACCAGAAACCAAAAAAAAAAAAACAAAAAAAACAGAAACCCTCCATTCAAACCGCCTCACCCAACTACCAGGATTCAAAAGGTCCCTATGCTTCAGGTATCTATGAGCTCCTCCATAGGAGAAAATAAATAATTGATGTGTTCATAGAGATGGGACAATATGGAATATGTTAAGATAACTCACTTGGGGATTTGTGGAAGAGGTTCAAGTGGAATAAATGTGTCAAATTTCTTTTCATAAGGCACTCTGAAAATCAGAAAAGACAATCATCAGATTGGTATGGCTTCTATCTCAAAGATATCAATACTTCATTGTGTTCAATACAGTGTCTTATTTTATTGCTTTAATTGCCATGTATAGGCTTCAAAACCATTAAGGGCCATAATTCTTAGTATTTATCACTTTTTGTAAACATCATTAAAACCAACATGATTAATTTTTATTGAGGTATATGGTTGATTTACAATATGTTTAAGTGTATACATAAGTGATATATGATTATTAAAGGTTATACTCCATTTGTAGTTATTATAAAATATTGGTTATAGTCCCTGTAGTTTATATTCTTGTAGCTTATTTATTTTAAACATAGTAGTTTGTACCTCTCAGTCCCCACCTCTATCTTGCCCCTCCCCAACCCCGTCTCCCCACTAGTCACCATTAGTTTCTTCTCTATATCTGTGAGTCTGTTTCTGTTTTGTTATATCTACTTTTTAGTTTGTTTTACTTTTTAGATTCCATATATAAGCGATATCATATAGTATTTGTCTTTCTCTATTTGACTTATTTCACTAAGCATAATACCTCCAAGTTTATCCATGTTGTTGCAAATGACAAAATTTCACTTTTTATGGTGGAGTATTACTCCATTGTGTGTGTGTGTATATATATATATATATATATAAACATCTTGTTTATCTATTCATCTGCTGAGGTTGTTTTCATATCTTGGCTATTGTAAGTAACTGCTGCTATAAACATTGGGGTGCATGTATGTTTTCAAACTAGTGGTTTTGTTTTCTTTGGGACATGATTAATTTTCTAAAATATTTTTAATGTACTACACCAACTATTTTTCTTTTAATTTAATGACCCTCCCTTTCTTGTCAATGCTTAGTTCCAAGTGTAAATCAACCCTACTAACCAACAATGTGATTCAGAATGAAAATTGAAGCCTTCATATGTGTGGTAACAATAATAGGAACAAAATTGGCAAGCACCTTTTTGTAATCAAGATCCTGTGTATGATCTCAGTTACATACATGCATATATATACATACACTAAGGAAACAGACGTGGACTTTTTTTAGAAATTTTCACCAGCTATGTCTTGTTGAGATTCGCCCCTTGCAAAATATAACTTATATGTAGCAGAGAGAAATACAATTCCTTTAAAGTTCACTAAATAATGCTAGTATTAACATACACTTACATTGAAAAATTCACTGGTGGGAGAGTTGATCCTGCTTTGTGGAAGCCTTTACTCTGTTCTGGATACATATATGGATTATCTCCTGGAGTTAACTTTGGGATTCCATTCCTGGGGTCAAGAACTGTGAATGGTGTTTAAAAACAAAATCATAAAAAGAGCTGAAAATGGTCCACAGATTTGCTCTAAGTATTGATATGACAATGGAAATAGGATAATTTAGTGTTTTATCATTAGGTACATATAGGTGTCTTAAATGCTCTGTTTATGATTGTTTCACCTTGAGGAGATGAAAAGTGTGAGCCTGAAATAAAGTAAAAGTAAAAAATAAATTTAAAAAACAGATTAAAAAACTTTTTTAAAGTGTGAGCCTATGTATAAGACATTTTTTTTAAAGGTGTTATGATTACTTTACCCTGGGAAAGAACAATAACTTAGGTTTGGATGGAATGGTTTGGTTTAAAATGAATGATGAATCAAAAGTTATCTGCAATGATGAGCATAAACTGACTTGAAATCTTTTCATTCCTAAGCATTAGTGTATTTTGAATCCCTGAATTCCTCAAGGATTAGAGGCGATTTTAACTGGGGCTCTGCCTCTCTGATTGAATCTCAACTAAAAAGGGTCCTGGCTCCTCCTTCTGACTCAAAGACTAGGACAGGGGTTTCCCTGGTGGCACAGTGGATAAAATCTGCCTACCAATGCAGGGGACATGGGTTCGATCTGTGGTCCAGGAAGATTCCACATGCTGTGGAGCAACTAAGCCCGTGTGCCGTAACTATTGAGCCTGTGCTCTAGAGCCTGGGGGCCGCAACTGCTGAGCCCATGTGCCACAACTACTGAAGCCCTAGAGCCCGTGCTCCTCATGAGAAGCCACCAGAATGAGAAGCCTGTGCACTGCAACTAGACAGTGGCCCCTTCTCACTGAAACTCATACAGCAACAAAGACCCAGCACAGGCAAAAATAAAATAATTAATTAGAAAAAAGAAAGACAGAGGTGGTGCAGCAGTGGGAGGTGGCCTTCCTGGTGAAGAGGAGTCAGGAAAAAGTCTACTGATGCTGAGTAAACACTGCTTACTCAGCCCATGCTCTGACACCCGACCCAGCCCCTTCCAATGCCCCAGGAACAAGAAACTAACCACATGAGTTCATAGGGAGTCAGGCTGGTACAGGATGGTCATTTAAACATGCACCTCCAACACCAGATGCATCTCCTAAGAAAATAATCCTGGCCTGCAAGACTGCCTTGCGCAATCCTACACTCAACAAACAGGACTCCTTTTAAAATTTTTTATTTATTTTGAAAGTTTTTTTATATATTTGTATTTATTTAGCTGGGCCAGGTCTTGGCCGTGGCACTTGGGAATCCTCAGTCTTTTTTGCAGCATGTGGGATCTAGTTTCCTGACCAGGGATTGAACCCGGGCCCCTGCTTTGGGAACACGGAGTCTTCGCAACTGGACCATCAGGGAGGTCCCTCATTTACTTTGTTTTTTGGCTGGGCTGGGTCTTGGTTGTTGCGCGGGCTTTTCTCTAGTTGCAGTGCCCGGGCTTCTGTTGTTTCAGCTCCTGGGCTCTAGAGCTCAGTAGCTGTGGCACACGGGCTTAGCTGCTTAGTTGCTCTGCAGCTTGTGGGATCTTCCCAGGCCAGGGATGGAACCCATGTCTCCCGCATTAGTAGGCGGATTCTTTACCACTGAGCCACCAAGGAAGCCCTTGTCGTCTACTTTTAATATATACTTGCAGTTGTCCCTGTTCTGGCCAGTGAGACAAAGAAGTCTCCCAAGGACCATATGGGAAAACTTTCCTTCCTTCTAAAAGGGGAAGGCAACAGCAGATTTTCCTTTTTTATGTCTTTAATACAAATATGATGCTTAGAACTACAACAATTATCTTGTAACTATAAGGGGACAAGCATCAAGACAAAAAAATTCAACATTACAAAGAATGGTGATACATCAAAAAATCCAAAATGAGCCTGTAACTTTGATGACATCATTGGACAACCAGACCATATAGGTCACCTAAATACCAAAGCTTCTTGTTAATTACTTTAAAGATATCTTACAATTTAAGTCTCTGATAATTTGATTTTTCTCTTTCTTGTGGCCAAAAGCATGCCTAAGTAATAGACAGCTAAACCTAGTCCCTTCTTGGTTTTTCTCAGTTGTTCCAGATTTAAACCAGTTAAATGAATCCTTGCTGTTCTTCCCTAGGATTGCATCTCAGGAGTGAGAAGTTGGAATGTGCACAGCAGGCTTACATGACATCAGGATCTATGAGAAGGCTCTGGGTCCTGGGTCACCATCTGCAAACCACACGGGTACCTGCTGCTCTCTGAGAGCTGGCATCTATTTCTGTTTACTAAAATGGGCCATCTAGTCTGAGCCTCTGAAGCCATCCCTGTCTGCCATGCATCAGGTGAAACACGCATTTATTCCCATATGACCCCTGGCTTGGTGGTCAACAGTGCACCCTACGGTGGCCTCCAGGCATTCCAGCTGTTCAAACAGCTCTCCTGGCTTGCTCGCTTGCTCTCTCTCTCTCTCTCTCTCTGTCCTAAGCTCCACAGTCTTTACAGGGCACAGAAATGCTGCTATTCATCCACATCTCCTGGATGGATGAGACCCTCAGGGGGCTTTCTCCCCAAACATTTCCCAGATCATTATTGTCTGCCCACAGTCAGGAGAGATGCCACTTCATCTGGAAGCTCAAGGTCTTCCCCCAGCCACCCTGTGAGGCAGAAGGCCCAGCTAGACTCACGTCCCCTCAGCCACTAGATTTTGATCTCAGGAGTTGGGTAGGACACAGAACTCCTCAAAGTCCCCGTATCAATGACTACTTTCTCACCTCCTCTAGTCTGGCTTTTGGGGTATTCTTTATCCATGCAAGGGCTTCCCTGGGAGCTCAGTGGTAAAGAATCCACCTGCCAATGCAGGAGACATGGGTTCAATCCTTGGGTCAAGAAGATGCCCTGGAGGAGGAAATGGCAACCCACTCCAGTATTCTTGCCTAAAAAATCCCATGGACAGAGGAGCCTGGAGAGCTACAGTCCAAAGGGCTGGACAAGAGTTTGACATGACTTAGCAACTAAAGAACAGCTACCCAAGGAAAAGCCTTGGTTTTCAAAACTACTTGTCTCCGCTGTGAGTTTAAAAGTCTATTTTAAAACTGAAAAAAAAAAACAAAAAAAAAAAAACGAGAAGTTTCCATTTCTTTCTCTTTGTATACTGGAGTGGGTAGCCTTTCCCTTCTCCAGGGGCTCTTCCCAACCCAGGGATCAAACACAGGTCTCCCACACTGCAGGTGGATTCTTTACCAGCTGAGCCACCAGGGCAAGCCAACAATACTGGAGGGTAGCATATACCTTCTCCAGCAGATCTTCCCAGGAATTGAACTGGGGTCTCCTGCATTGCACGCAGATTCTTTACCAACTGAGCTACCAGGGAAGCCCTATTTTCCTACTACAGCAATCTTATTCTTCCCTGAAGCACTTGCTGAATCCTATATAGGTATTTCTTAGAAGCGTTGCCATAAATGGTCCCTTGGTATTCAGAAACTCGTTAGGGTCTTTCAATAAACTTATGATGGCTAAGTTGGAACAGAGAACTCACCAAATCACCAGCTGAGGAGATATATATATATACACTTCCTCATCACATCTACCTTTCATTAAGTCAGCTAGAAAACAACAACACACACTGAAGCTAAGGTTTACAGGATGTTTTCCTTGTAAAAAATCAAAAATACAATTTAAATGCATATGACAAGCAGCATCTAATTGAAACATGAATTCTTTTCCTCGGACTTCAATGGAGGTTTCTATTAATAAGTATCCGAGACAACTTATCTGATGACTTAAATATCACATTAGCATTTTATGAAACTCAGAGAAAAACAAAAATGTGGATCAGCATATGGTGTGAATTCTTTGCCAAAAAGTGCAGCCTGCCAACCATCCCCTTGTCTTTCCTATTTTCCTGGCTGCACCTGGATGACACAGTGACCCCCTAGGTCTGCCCCAGCCACACAATGCTGGGCCGCCGGAATGACAACTCACAAGTATTCTGGGGCATTGCACAATGAAGATTCAGGAGGAAAACATTACCATATTTCTTTCTCCCAAGGCTCTTGTCCACTATCCTCTCTGACAGAGACCTCCTATTGCCGAGGAAGACCCCGTTAAAGAAACACTGCTTTCCAACATGGTAGGTGTGGATGTTGCTGCTAAACCTTGGATAAAATGTCCACTCAGGACGCTGCCCATCTTCTGCAAGACATCAGAAATGCTTCCATAAGCACTGCTCCCAGCCTCACAGTGTAGCTGGATAACAAAATAGTGTGAAGCCCCACCCCCACCCCCACCCCCGGCTCTATCTGGCTATGCGACCTGTATCAATGTGTGTAGTTCCGTAATTCTACATCGGGGCAGTGTTAACCTCTATGGGACTAGGCACAAAAGAAGGGAAGTAGAGAGAAAGCTATCTAAGAGGGTTCTTCTTTGTTTCCTTTTTACCCTCCCTTTCAAAAATAAAGCCAGTTTTATGGTTGGAAGTGATGTATGGGTTAGGAAGCTCAGAGACAGTTTTACAAGCATCTGTGAGCCAATCTTCACTCTAATAAATGTGTAGGAATAGAAAGCGCATCAGGGGAAGGGCTGGAACACCCATGGCATCTTAACCAGATGGCATATGGTGTTGGCAGCAACAGTGGCACATGCACAGGCTACAGAAACCCAGAGAGATGCAATGTGATTAGGACCAAGGAGAAAGGCTGCTCTGAGACCTCAGTCTAGTTACTGGACTTCTCAGCGCCTCTGTTTCTTCGTCCGACCCTTTTCCTATAAAACTGCTCAAGTGATTTTAAATGGTAAAAGATCTCCTACAGCTTACAGCTCTAGGGTTGCTTAAGAAACTCTTGTCTCCTTAGTGGCCGTGAAGGACCAGAGGCTTTGGAGGCAGGCATGTTTGAGTTCTAATCCCATCCCTTCACTTCCTAACTATGTGTGCTTGTGTGGGTGACTGAATCTCTCCAGCTTCAGTTTCCTTCTGTGTAAAACAAGTAGGTCTGTATTAGCCACACAGGTCTATATGTATTGACACAGAAAGGATCCATGATCTATTTATACTTTGAGTGAAAACAATACTTTGAAAATAATTTGTGTATTATTTTCTATCCATGAAAATATTGTGGTATATTACTATCCATAAATATATATATATTAAACATATATATGTTTATACATATACAAATATATTTCAAATACATATACATTTACATTTCAAAATTCTCGAAGAATAGATATCAAACTCTTCACAACTATGGAGCAGAATAGGGGGATGATTAGAAAATATTGGGGAAGGGGTTTTCATACTCTACATGTTTCTTTATTATTTTAATATTTTATTATAGTACTTTTATATTTATAAGGCATTATTTTTGCAAAACATATAATGGTAGCTGCCCCGCAGAGTTGTAAGAATTAGAGATGAAGTATGTTGAGTGCCAGGCACCTAGTGGGTCTTCCGTGAATGGCACCCAACAGTATGGCAGCCTTCTGCAAAGACCCTGGGCATGGAGGCACATGGAAGAGGACCTATGATCTACTCACTTGTCTGCAACTTGAGCAGGCTGAATTCCTGGGGATATTTATCCTTTTGGACTTCAGGCAATGAAGTTTCAGAGGAGTGATCAGAATGTGAGGAGGAGGATTTCAGATCCAACTCTGCAGCAGGGCTGGAAAGGAAGCAGAAGGATGAAAATGTCAATGTGCTTAAATTGGAAGTTACAACCCGATCTTACATCTTTTACACTAGAATTGCCCTCATGTATGAAAACTAGGACTACTCTTCACTAAAAGTCCATGAGCATATAATTTATTTATTCACATGAGGGGATTGAAATATATTCCAAAGATGCATGCTTAAAGGCAGTTTGGTGTCCAAAAGTTAAATATAGAATTATCATATAACCCAGCAATTCCACTCCTGGCATACAGCTAAACATTAGGCTGAATAAAAGAAGCCAGACACAAAGACCATAACTTGGTGATTCCATTTATATGAAATATCCAGAACAGGTAAATCCACAGAGATAAAATTAATGGTTATCCAGGGCTGGAGGGATAGGGGACATAAGGGTGACAGGTTTCTTTAAGGAGGCAATAAAAATGTCCTAAAATTGATTGTGATAATGGTTGTATTATTAAACTGGTGAATTACATAGTATATGAATTATGCTTCAACTAAAACTGCTACCAAAAAAATGCATGTTCAATAAAATCATTAAATGGAAATAAAAAATCAATCAGTATAAAGAAAAGAGAAAGAAATAATCAAAAACAAGCCTCGACTGAAATGGCTATAATAATAGAGCACTATGTTTAGTATGGAACTTCCTGGCAGTTAAAAATGCCTGCAATGAGCTAGTGTGGGCGTCAACAGAAAAAGCCATCACTTCTGGTCTTAGTGGCCTAGCATTTGATAGATGGCCTTGGGCAATGCTTTCAGGTAAGGTTATCTGTTATCAAGCCATAGAATCTTTTTTCATAATATTATGTCATCCTGATATTGGAATCATTTCAAACCAACTCCATGTTGATCATTTTGTTTGCTGCTGACAAAAAAAATCCTGTTACTATAGGTGGGGCCAGTAGAATCATTTCCATTTGCAAAGGAAATGAGCCCTCAAAGAAACTCACAAAGCACATCCTAGAGAGGGGCCGAGCTGGATCTGCAGGTTAACTCTGGACTATGTTGCCTAAAAATCATAAAGAACCCTGGGTCCATAACTCACAGTCTTGCATAGCCCAACTTCAGTTTTAAGTAAACAGTCCCATACTAATGTCTTTGAACTACCATAGTGTGCAGATAAAGCAAAAAAGCCAACAACTCAGAGTCCATCCTCCCAGTTCCAAATGTATGATAACTTTGACACTGGGTGATATATGGCTCTCCTAAATACTTTTTATATATTTGTGTTTGCTGAATTAACTGCGTAGAAAACATCGCCAAGATAAAGGAAACATTCCAAAAGAACTTTAGGACTATCCACCTACTTGTTTCACTCAACAAAAACGTGTCTGAGTACATTTTGGGGCAAGCATTGCTCTAAACACTGGGGATCCAAACAGTCCCTGCTCTCAGGAGCTTAGGGTCAAGGGGAAGAGGTCATGGACAGATAAACAGGTGACTGTGAAAGAGTGGGTAAATGCAGAGTTGGAAAAAACAGGTTTTGCAAAAAAGTAGTATAATAGGATCTTAACTGTGAAAAATAATTACATATTTCCATGCATAAGAAATAGATTTTTCTTTCATGCATATAAAAAAAAACGTTAACACCAATTCTCTAAGAGGTGAGATTACCGTGGTGGTTGTTTTTTATACTGTTTTTTATATTTTCAAAATTCCTATAATGAACTTAAATAACTTCATTTTTAATTGAATTATGTATTTATGGCTGTGCTGGGTATTCGCTGCTACACAGGCTTTTCTCCAGCTGTGGCTTCTTCACCGAGGTGACTTCTCTTGTTGCGCAGCACAGGCTCCAGGGCTCAGTACTTGCAGTTCCCGAGCTCTAGAGCACGTGGACTCAGCAGTTGTAGTGCAAGGGTTTAGTTGCTCCCTGATATGTAGGTTCTTCCTGGACCAGGGATTGAACCCATGTCCCTTGCATTAACAGGAGGATTCTTCACCACTGAGCCACCTTGGAAACCACTAAATTACCTTCATTACAACAAAAACTGTTAGAAAAAGCTTTTTAAGACTTTGTATCATAGGAAAATCAAACAGAGCAAAGTATATAAAACAGCACAGTTTTACACATACTTATAAAGCCAACATCCAAGACAAGAAATAACGCATGGCCAGCCCTTTCCTCCCACTCCCCAGAAACCATCTGTGTCCCTTTCCCAGAGAGATAACCACAATTCCTGACTCTTGACTGTCATGGTAACCATTTCTTTGCTGTTCTTTAAGAGTTTAACACCAGAACTTCCTTGGTGGTCCAGGGGTTAAGAACTTGCCTTCCAATGCAGGGAACACAGGTTTGGTCCCTGGTCAGGAAACTAAGATCCCACACGCCCTGGGGCAACCAAGCCCACACGCTACAAGGAACATCCATGTGCCACAACTAAGACACAGTGCAGTCAAAAACAAAAATGACATAAATGAATATTTTTTAAAAGGTTTACCACCTGTGTGTATATATTTGTATTCCCAAAAATACGTAGTTTAATTTCACCTTCATAATAGCCAGCCCTTGCACCGTCTGTGTTTTATGCCAAGGAGTCTTCTAATCACTTTATATGTACTACCTTATTTCATCCTCACAACAATCTCCTGAAGTATTACCCTCTCTCCATTTTGCAGATAAGAAAGCTGAGGCCCAGGGAGATGAAGTAATTTGCCCAAATTCACACAGATACCAACTGACAGAGTGAGATGAGAACCCAGCCTGGCTCCGGAATCCATGCTCTTGTAAACACGTCACACTCCCTCTCAGACTGTTGGTCCCTTGGTTAGAATTGACCCCAATGTTTACAGCCCTTCCCTGGACCCTTACTTACTCTAGGTGGACAAGGCCTCTGCAAGGGCTGAGAGGCTTACCGACACTCAGACCTGTTTCAGTAGATGAGGAGCTGACCCTTCTGCCAGATGATGTTACATTGGCAAAGCATCCCTTAGATTCCAGAAGATCACTGTGCTTGGTATCTGCAACACATAGATATCACCACTGGATTACATTCATGAAACCACCTCCCACTTGATCTTGTTCCCCAGATGGTAAATAATTTCTTTAAAAAAAAAAAAAACTATAAAAAAATTCTCAGAAATAAGAGTCAGACTTCTCTGACGCTGGAGTACATTTTTAGGATGACTGCTGTTCCACCTACCATTTCATGATTCACATGTGTGGCATCTACCGGGCACCTCTGCAAATTCCCACCATCCATCAGTGGGACTACCCCTTAGCCAGGTTTTATTCATTTCCTATCAACTCCCTCTCAAATTCATTTACCAAGTGAATCACATCCTTCCCACACTTGTCAAGTCCCAACTCTATTACCAAACACCTTACTCTTAAGTGCACTTTGCCTGTGACTCTACAAAGTTTAAAGTTTAAATTCTACAAAATCTGTCCTCTCACAATACCCCCATGCTGGGGTTTCTCAGGGTAAGAACTGTTGCATCAGAGTTACCTGAGAGGCCTGTTAAAAATACAGAGTCCCAGGATAAAGAAGATGTGATACATAAATACAATGGATTATTACTCAGGCCATTAGAAAAAGTGAAATAACATCATTTGCAGCAACATGGATGGGCCTGGAGATTGTCATATGAGTGGTCAGACATCCTTTATAAAAATGTGGAATCTAAAAAAAGCGTGATACAAATGAACTTATTTACAAAACAGAAACAGACTTACAGGCTTAGAGAACAAATTTATGGCTGCTAGTATTCTAACCCTTATGAATATACAGTGAAAGTGAGAAATAGATTTAAGGGACTAGATCTGATAGACAGAGAGCCTGATGAACTATGGACGGAGGTTCATGACATTGTACATGAGACAGGGAGCAAGACCATCCCCAAGAAAAAGAAATGCAAAAGAGCAAAATGGCTGTCTGAGGAAGCCTTACAAATAGCTTTGAAAAAAGGGAAGCGAAAGCAAAGGAGAAAAGCAAAGATATACCCATTTGAATGCGGAGTTCCAAAGAATAGCAAGGAGAGACAAGAAAGCCTTCCTCAGCGATCAATGCAAAGAAATAGAGGAAAACAAGTTAGACATAATAAGTTTCAGTGTAGTCACCACAAACTGTAAACTTGCTAGGGTGAACATCTGGGGATTTTTAAACCAGATATTGCTGCTAAACATCATCTTAGTCTTCTGCTGGTGTGGTTATTTTCTTAGGACCTAGAAACATGATTCATCCCCATTGGTTCCATCTTGTTAGATATAACACTTGCCCCAAATTTTCCTGATTATGACATCGATAGATTGTTTTCTTTCCAGCTTTGTGTCATCTATAAATCTGATGATTTTGCCTTTTCTAAGTTATAAAGACATACATCAAATAAGAAAGAGAGAGTTATATGCAGAATCCTAAAGTTCATTAGCAATAACAAGCAAAAGCTACAGCTTATCAAGAAACTGATAAGCTAAACAACTAATTTTTGTTGTTTGTTGGGCTGACCTAATCATCTTAAATATGGTCATTATTTTTAATACTAGCTAGTTTGTTAATAAAGGACATATTAGAGCCAGTTGAAGGCATTAAGATATATTATTGTTATGTGAGATGAAAGTCTAGTATTTTGAAAGAAAATAAAACTTCAAAATTGAATTTTAATACATCTAAGAAAATTACATTAAATCATCTTTGCAGATTATCTCATCTTTTACATTGTATAAATAGCAAAGAAGAGGTACTCAATAGACATTTGTTGATAGAGTAAAAATAATAAAATGAAGGCTACCTTCCTTAAAANAATTGATGCTTTTGAACTGTGGTGTTGGAGAAGCCCCTTGAGAGTCCCTTGGACTGCAAGGAGATCCAACCAGTCCATCCTAAAGGAGATCAGTCCTGGGTGTTCATTGGAAGGACTGATGCTGAAGCTGAAACTCCAATACTTTGGCCACCTCATGTGAAGAGTTGACTCATTGGAAAAGACCCTAATGGTGGGAGGGATTGGGGACAGGAGGAGAAGGGGACGACAGAGGATGGCATCACTGACTCGATGGACATGAGTTTGAGTAAACTTCAGGAGTTTGTGATGGACAGGCAGGCCTGGCGTGCTGCGACTCATGGGGTCACAAAGAGTCGGACACGACTAAGCGACCGAACTGAACTGACTGACTGAGTGGGACAAAATGGGGGATGGGATCATTAGGGAGTTTGGGATGAACACTGCTATATTTAAAATGGATAACCAACAAGGACCTACTGTATAGCCCAGGAAACACTGCTCGATGATATGTGGCAGCCTGGGATGGGAGGCGAGTTTAGAATAGACACATATATTTGTATGGCTGAGTCCCATACAAATTGTATGGAACTATCACATTGTTAATTGGCTATACTCCAATAAAAAATTAAAAGTTTTTAAAAAAAGAACTGGGATTGGGGGCAGGAGGAGAAGGGGACGACACAGGATGAGATGGCTGGATGGCATCACTGACTCAATGGACATGAGTTTGAGTAAACGCCAGGAGTTGGTGATGGACAGGAGGCCTGGCATGCCGTGACTCACGGGGTCGCAAAGAGTCGGACACGACTGAGCGACTGAACTGAACTGAACTGAAAATAGATAACTAACAAGGACCTGCTGTAAAGTACAGGGAACTCTGCTCAATACTCTGTAATAACTGAAATGGGAAAAGAATTTTAAAAAGAGTAAATACATGTCTGTGTATAACTGAATCATTTTGCTGTACACCTGAATCTTACAACATTGTTCATCAACTACACTCTGATATAAAAATAAAAATTAAAATTAAATATAAATTTTATAAAAATTAAAATTAATATAAAAAATTAAATGGGGGTGGTGGGAAAAAAAAACAACATAAAACATTAAAAAATAAGAAATAATTCAAAAATACCAATTCCCAAATCCCATTACAGACCCATCAAACCGGAATCTTGGTCAGTGAATCCTGGGAATCCACATTTTGAAGAAGCCTCACTCCCTCAGTAGTTCTTAGGTTCATGTCTGGCAGTGAAATTCCTCCTTTTCAAGCCCAGTTCCATCACTACACTCATTCTATCCTTCTCCTCTTCTTGATTCTCCACATGCATCCAATGATGAGAATCAACTTGGGACACCTGTTCAACATGCAGATTCCAGGGCTTCAAGCCAACTTACTGGGAGGGGTGGGAGGCAACTCGGGAATGTGTATGTTTAAGAAGCACCTCGGGTGGTTCTCAGAGCCAGCCAAGTGTGGGAAGAGCTGTTTTGGCACGAGGCTCTGAGCCATGCCTTGGAGGAGGGCATGGCAGCCCACTCCAGTATTCTTGCCTGGAGAATCCCAATGAACAGAGGAGCATGGCGGGCTGCAGTCCATGGGGTCACAAAGAGCTGGACATGACTGAGCGACTAAGCACAGCATGGCATGCAGCCTAGAGCAGCCTTCCGTACATGAGGGCCAACTGGTTGCTTGAGGAGTGACTAGTTGGGATGGAGTGGAACCCAGTGGAGGGCAGAGCTGTGAAGAAAGAGCACAGGTCTCCAGCAGCCCCAGATTGGAGCCACAAATGTGGTATCAAGAACATAATGCAGACCACAGTCTCTGACCACATGCAATACTATTAAAAATCAATAATAAAAAGACAGCCAAAAAACACCCATAAGCTTGGAAATTCAAACCACATCTCCAAACATTCCACATAATAGAAGAGAGCATAATGTTTCTCATGAGGTAATTAATGATCAATGACATAAGTACAATATATCAAAACTTGTAGATTCAACTAAAGCAGTAATTAGAACCTAGAGCCTTAAATGCATACACTGTATTTTACTGAATGTAAGACACCATCAGTTGTAAAAACATTATTATTTTATGGACCACAAAGAACAGAGGCTGCCAGTTAAATTATGACACATGCTTTATCATTTTGGACTTTTATATTTATTGAAGAATCCTTTAGACTTACTTAGATATAGATTTTAATCCTGTGCATATTTAAAGAAGGAAAATAAAAGCAAAATGAAATGGCTAAAGGCACTCGTGGGGCTTTCCAGGTGGTGCTAGTAGTAGAGAATTGTCTGTCAATGTGGGATACTCAAGAGACTCGGGTTTGATCCCTAGGTCAGGAAGATCCCCTGGAGTAGGAAGTGGCAACCCACTCTAGTATTCTTACCTGGAAAAATCCATGAACAGAGGAAAGGAGTCAGACAAGACTAAGCGACTGAAGGAGTCAGACAAGACTAAGCGACTGAGCACAAGGCATTCTTACACCTTACGCACATTCAAAAGTCTTATTACTGAATCACTTTTCACCTCAATCCTTGATGTCCACATTTTCCACCAAAATTGATCTCAATGCAACAAGAATGTAGGTGACAGAGCATTTCTTAAGTGCTTCTGGAATTTTCTTCCAAACCACAGACACACCTCTGCGTTATTCAGTGCTCATCCAGCAAAGTGTATACCAACTACTTCACAGGGGCTACTGGGCCCATGGCACTGGTAAGACCCATCCAACTTCAGAGACACAAGCTGTGAAAAATGTCCATCTTACAAGTGACAGGTTATATTGTCAGAAAACAAAGATTCTAAAATTAATGACCTAAACTTTTAATTCAAGATATAAGGGGGAAAAGACAAATGCCCCAAAATGATAAGGAAAGAAATAATAAAAGCAGAAATGAATGAAATAAAGATGATTATCAGAATTAGCGGTTCATGAAAAAAATTTAAAATGTAGATAAAGTTCAAGAAAAATTTTTAATATAAGTAAACAGTATAAGAAATGAAAAAGAGGCCATAATTACAAATAAAACAGAAATAATTTTACCCATAAAGAAATTGAGTACCAGAAATATCAAATAACTTGCACAAGTTTACAGAGCAATGGAGTATAATGCATAAAATGTAGTTTAGAGTCTTCCCTGGAGGTCCACTGGTTAAGACTCTGAGCTTCCACTGCAAGGGGCATGGGTTTGATCCTTGGTTGGGGAACTAAGATCCCCATGTACTACACAGTGCAGCCAAAAAACCAAAACAACAAAAAATGTGATTTAATGTTGCAATAATCATGATGGAACTGACACAAACCCTGACAGTTAAATCAATAGAACAAAACAGCAAATGTAGCTAGGATAAAATTTTATGTGATAGTAGTGGCATTTTACCACAGTGAAGAAAGAATGGATCATTCAAAAAAATATTTCTGTAACAACTAATTAACCATTTGGAATAAAAATAAAATTAAACCTCCCTTATCCCCAAATAAATTTCAAATGAATTACAAATTTCAACACAAAAATTAAAAGATGTATCTGAAAAAATAATAAGTGAATGTTTAAATAATGTTAGAGTGGGGAAGTTATTTCTAAGAAAGGTATCAAATACAGGCAAAAAAAAAAGATGCACAGATTTGAATACACACACATTTAAAACTTTCATAGCAAACTATAAATAGATTTATAACATACAGGATATAAAAAGAGCTAATAATCATGACAAAGCATGAGTTTTTAAAAATTTATAAGATGAAAATCTTATACCCAACAGGAAAAAAAAATGAGCAAAAGACATAATTAGGTAATTCACTAAACACACATATATAGACAGTGTATGTTTGGGGAAAAAAATTCATCCTTACATTAGTAAAAGAGCTGAACTTAAAACAAGATATTATTATTATTTGCTATCCATTTACAAATACCTAAGGCTGGCACAGCTTGGAGGAATGACATTCTTGTACACTGCTGCTGAAAAAATTTCCATCTTACTGAAGAGTAATTTGCCCATTTATGTCCTCCAAAATCTATGAGAAGGGCTCTTTCATTCCAAGGTTCTACTTTCAGTAACATATCTATGAAAAGGGTATGAAACGTATATATAAAGATGCAGAAAGGATCCACATATGTAAAGGAAAAAATAAGATTAAGAGCAGAGATGTCTTCTGGGTTGAGACTCATATCAGTTTTGAGTTACTTATCATAGCATTTACGTGTGATAATGCTTGCTGGTAGGTTTTAACAGGGACTGCCTTTTCTAAATAGTTCACATTGTATATTGTATTCGGCCACTAGGGGGACTGGCGAATTCACCAAAGCAAGGTTTGTTTGCTAAGGATGGTATCAGAGGGGGCCCCCTCACAAGTTTTGGGATTTGTTTTATTTTGAGAGGTAAAAGGTAAGTATATTATGCAACCCTAAGCAGCGAGCCAGTGAAATCATATCTACAAATTTAGCCTATTTCCCTGTTTACTTAAGAAGTTTTGTGATGGCAACATTCTAGAAAGCGGCTTGCAGCTGCCTAACAGCAGACTGCAGACTTTGACCAGCAAGGGCCAGAAGAGGGGTCTGTCTGCTCAACTGGCACTTTCTCCAGACCCGGCTGACTTCTGGGAATTTCTAGAAGAAACTCAGCCTCAAACATGACCTGGAGACACTTAATCCTGACCCCAGGCTGCCTCTCCACATCTCCTCAGGTGGGAGAAGAGGACTGGAAATGCAAGTCTGAACCATCCCATTCTGATATTGATGCCTCTGCTGTGTAGAGTAACATCAAGTTACTTTCAGCAAGTCAGTGACCTGTCATGCCCAGCTCACAATGCCGGCCCCACCTCTCTATCTAGCACTGGAGCCTGAGACACGGTAAGTTAAGGAACATCCTTCTTGAAGGGTCACCATTTATCATGCTCATTGTTACTCAAATGCAAAAGATATCCAGTGAGCCATGAACTTGAAAATCCTAAGTCAAAACACTTCGAGACAAAAAAAAAAAAAGATGGTCCAACCTAAGAGAAAGTTTTGATGACTAGAAAGGAATCGAGGGGGGAAAAACATCTGTTTCAGAAGAAAGTCTGTTTCTTTGGTACCATCTGTGAAATTCACAATAATTATTTCCATTTCCGTTAGGCAAGAATAACACCTTATGTAACCAAGGCACTTTCACAAGGCTTGTCATCTCAGCTGAGTTACACAATAGCACTGTCTGGCGGGGAGAAAATAATACAGCAAGCCAAGTTAGCTTCTTGTGAATACTCTTTAACCAAACACTCGGTTTCCAATCCCTGTTTATCTGCTCGACAAACAAACGAAAGATCTAGGACAGTGGTTTTTAACTCTTTTTTGAATCACAGACTCCCCCCCAAGAAATAAAGAAAGTCCTGGGTCCTCTCTGCTGGAAAAATGCATACACACCCAGAGTTGTGCACTCAGCCTATGCTGGGGTTCGTGGATCCATGCTCCTTTCCTTACTGAAACCTGTGAACTCCACGTGAAGCTGAGCTCAGATGTAGTCTCCTGATGGATATACCTCTCCAGCAGAAAAGGAAGCCATGGGTCTTTGGTTAATGTGGCGTGGCAACCTCAGGGGCTGGTGTTCTTCCAGGAGCCCTGACCTAGAAACCTGAAACCCTTTTACCCACCCTTAAAACAGTAGCGTCCTTCTTTAGGCCTGGTCAACCTGAAAACTGTGGAACATTCTGGAGCTTAAAGCTAGAATCCCAGAACCTTCTTCTCCTTGCTGAACTAGCCACATTGGGCAATGAGTGGCTCTAATTTCTACTGCTCCACTGGCCCCTGCTTGTAAGAAAAAGTGAAAGTCTGAGTCACTCAGTGGTGTCCGACTCTGCCACCCTATGGATGGTGGCACACCAAGCCCCTCTGTCCATGGGATTCTCCAAGCAAGAATACTGGAGTGACAACATGTCATTCCCTTCTCCAGGAGATCTTCCTGACCTAGGGATTGAACCACAGTCATTGTGGGCAGATTCTTTACCATCAAAGGCACCAGGGAAGCCCCAGTTGTGGGTAGGTAGTAAATCATACCGCCACCGTCTCCCTGCACTTGTAAATGGAGGGATCACAGACCTGGAATACAGAAGACCAAAGACCAAGCTCTAATGGGCAGAGACGGAACGTTCTACGCTCTCTTTTTGCGGCATGAAGGCTACCCACTTACATGTACTTACTCAGGGGTTTTCTGAGACGCTGTGGCTGTTCTACTACACAGCACTGTTCTCTAAAGGCAAATGTACCCCTAAACATTCTCTTCAGCCATAAAAATCAATCACAGAGCGCCCATCCACTGTTTAATTTAAATCTTTCATTAAAGTGTTCCTCATTTCTACCTGAGCTGTCCCATCCAAAAAACAGTGCCACAAATCTGATATATGAGCAAAGAGAAAGAAAAAGAGGGGGCCTGGGTTTGGAGACGGGGAGACTCATGTCAAATCCCAGCTTTATCATTTATTGACTCACACACTGGGCAGGTCAAACCTATGTCCTCCTTCATTCTTTGTAATATACCTCTCGGTGAGATATATTAGGAAATCCAGGGAGGTCATTTATGAGAACTCCTAATGCTGCTCTCTGCCTTACCAGAACTTGGGTTAATACAAATAGTCCTATTACAGGGTCCCAAACTAGCCTTCATTTAAACGTCAAACGATGCCTTCTGGCTCAGTGTACTTAGCTAGAGCAACCAAATCCCAGTCAGCCCTCCTGATTTTTTAAACTCAACTGTATCTCTTCTCTCCCGTGATGATGTCAGAGTCTCCTTTGTCTTGAACCTTCTTCAGGTCTCTGCTGTAGAGGGGGCGGAGACGACAGCCCCCAGGACCGCTTCCAGCGTCCATGGACTCAGCCGTGCAGATGCTGATTTAAATATTAAAAAGCGAGCCGGAGACAAAGAAAAGACCTTTGTTTAAAAAAAAAAAAAAGTATCAATCAAAGGAAGCAGAAACTTCAGGGGCCACTGAAAGTCGAGAGGGCAGGGCAGGCCTCTTGATCGAGGCTTCCCTCGCTTTCTCTGATTGGGCGTTTCCGGGTTCGGAGCTCCCGGCCCTCGCCCCGCCCACCGAGAGGCTCCTTCCCTTCCTCCGCTGGGTGGTCCACCCCTGCCCCCAACGGAGGCCTGGCTCTACGTTCCGAGGCCTCCAAGGAGGATACGACCGACATCAACTCACCAACCCCAACCGGCAGCCTAACTGCAGGCCGAGGATCCGAGAGCCAAGGGCAAGAGGGACGCCGCGGCCACCTGCCTCACCCGCGGAGGCGCGTTTCGGGGTTGCCAGGACACCGGCCCAGCCACGCGCGCCGCCGCCTCCCGCCAGGCGGTGCTTCCGGGTCCTCTTGGCTTCCCGCGGCTCTCTGAGCCGCCGCACGTGATGGAGTCTTTTGAAGGAGCAAAACCAGAGTCTCTAGCCCTGTCGGGGCGTGGTGGGCAAGGACCAGTGGAAAAGTGACTTTGTGTTTATGATTTTTTTTTTTTTTCTTTTTCTTGTTAAGAACTGTAGGGACTTTCCTGGTGGTCGAGTGCCTAAGACTCCCGCGCTGCCAATGCAGGGAGCCCGGGTTCCATTCCTGATCAGGGAACTATACTGTGAGAGGCAACTAAGACCCGGTGCAGCCAAGTAAACAAATAATTTTTTTTTTAATTGTGGTTCTTCTCCAGGCAATTTTCATTATCGGGACTGTAGCCTCTGGTGGCAGTGAACGATGAGCCCTCCGCAAAGCTTGCAGATGCCGTCTTATAGCTGGCATTGATTGGACAGGATCACCTAACACTTCAGAGCGTCTTTTCTGGGCCAAGCGCCCTGGTGGATGTTATCTTTCTTAAGCAGCCAGCTGCATTTTTCAAAATAGAAAGCTGAGTTTGAGCAAGGATTTGCTCAAGGTCACCCAGAAAACTGAGATTCATTTCCAAGTTTTCTCACTCCAAACCTACCACTGTGTCCATCATACCAACTTAAATTTATCTTACTTAACTCTTATCAGTAGCTAATCAATCTTGCAGGCAAACCTTCTCTCCGACTCTAGTTTAAGTCCCTCAGTTCAAATCATGATGCAATTTTTCCCTTGGTGAAGTGGAAAAAAATTAGACTGTGTTTTTATTTTAATAAAATTTTTACTGATCGTAAAACAAAAAAGTAGTCATTCTAGAAACCTTGAAAAAAATTTAAAAGTATTGTTGCCCAGCTAACATTAAGATGCTGCGATGCCAGGAAGGCAGAGATTTTTGTCTGTTTTGTTCACTGCTATACACCAAGCACGTAGCACAGTGCCTGGCACATATAGGCACTCAATAATCACTGTTTAACAAATAAATGGGTGGATGGACTATTGATTTAAATGGCCTGAGCTGAGCTCCTCCCTCTTCTGTTTCCATCCTCTTGGAAAGAGACCAGGTCTCTAATCTGCACCATCAGGTTTCAAGACATCAGGACAGACAACAGAGCCCAAACTCTCTCATCCTAGACGAACCCTGTGTACTGTAACTCCTAAATCTTCCCTTACTCTGCAGCTTTAAAGCCTCCTGGGCCACTTTGCGTTCATCCCCTGGGCAAGTTTTAGATGCTTCCCATCCTGGGCTGAGGTCTGGCAGGGCATGGGAGTCACCCTAAGAAGTTCTGGGGGGCAGCGGAGCTCCAGAAGCTGCCTGGCTGCCACGATTCAGCAGTAGAGGTGAGGGTTTGGATGCTCGGTGCATCCAGAAGCTCAAGGCCTCCTGAAGCTCCTGGAAAAACCTGTGGGTACAGCCCAGAGGGCGAGGGCCATCCAGCAAAAAGGGTTTATCTGGGGACTCTCACCAGCATCCTCTCTCTTGGCTGCATTCCCCCAAATCAAGCCTGGCACAGAAGTCACCGCAGAACCCATACGGAAACAGAGGGTTGATGCAGAAAGCGGGCCGATCTTGGGCCCCTGAAATCAACCTTCTCAAGGGCTGTAGGGCCTTCCTTGCAGCTTTGCAGCCTGGGATCCTGCCGTGCCATGAGCTGGGTCTGAATGAGCTGGGGGAGGGAGGAGGGGTCCCGAATGAGCGGGGTTGGGATCCCAGGGCCATCACTAGCACATATAGGGTTTAGTGCCTAAATAGGGGGTTTTTTTAATCGATGTTTTTGTGGGTCATAAGTTGTTGTATACCAACATTTTCATGATCCAACCTGACCATAAAAGGCAAATGCTTCTAGGAGGTTCCATGGCGAGGTGGAAGGAAGGTGAGCTAGACCTTAGCCCCACCAACCCCTCTGCCCTGCAGAACCTCACTTTACGGACTGGGGGCTCAGCTCTGAGAAGGGACGGCAGAGCGAGGCAGTTGGTGGGAAGAGGTAAACCTGGAAGGTGTTGCAGACGCTGGCTAGGGAGGGCCAGTTCTGGTTTTTGCTTGGCCTGCTGTGAATCCAGACCCTTTAGAACAAATAGTGAGGCAGTTATAGGAACCAGGTGGGTGCGTGCCTAGTCGCTTCAGTCATGTCCGATTCTTTGCGACCCTATGGACTGTGGCCTGCCACACTCCTCTGTCCATGGGATTCTCCAGGCAAGAATACTGGAGTGGGGTGCCATGCCCTCCTCCAGGGGATCTTCCTGACCCAGGGATTGAACCCTCATCTCTTCTGTCTCCTGCATTGGCAGGCGAGTTCTTTACCACCAGCGCCACCTGGGAAGCCCAAGAACCAGGTGCCTAGGGAATTACAGGAGACCAGACAGCAGAGGGGGAATCAAATAAACTCTACCCCTGTTCCTTTGGGGTCTTTAGCAGAACACAGGGAAGAAACCTGATTCTAGAAGGATGGCATTGTGTGATAGTCAAGCAGTCAGGGGCATGGTAAAATGCTTCTTGTGTCTGATAAACCTCAAGAGTTTCCATCTAAATTGGGGGGGGGGTCCTTAAACATTAACTCTCCCCCTAGTTACATGGCAAACAGTGCATATATGGGAACCTCTTTTCTCCAATGTCAAGAAAAAGTCCCCACAAACCCATCTGACATGCATGTCCCACAAACACACACCAGAGGGCAGTGTAAACCAGGACATGAGGAAAAAAATCACAGAGCCTCCTACAAAGAGGGTGCTGGGGAAATGGGTGTTGGGTGGATTACTGATGATGCACCATTGTCTTTGAAAACTTTCAGTGGTAGACAGAGGGGACCTGGCAATGCGGTTGGGAGGGAGCATTTATACCTCAGAACCTGCTACCACCACCAGCTCCCAAACCCTCAAGGACTTCCTATCAGGTCAGGTCAGGAAACAGCTTCCAAGCACCTCCCATGTGCGAGGCACTGTGCTAGGGGCAGGGATTTGAAAGTGAGTAAAACCCAGTCCCTTCTCCAACTGAGCGCCTATGATGTGCCCATCTCTTTACATTCCTTATCCCATTTAACACTCACAATGGCAAAGTGCTATAAGAATCATCCCCATTTTACAGATGATGAAAAACAGACTCAGAGGGGGTAAGATACTAGTCCCATTTAGGGCATGCTAAGTAACTGCAGTTGTGTCCGACTCTGCGACTCTATGGACTGTGGCCCATCAAGCTCCTCTGTCCATGGGATTCTCCAGCAAGAATATTAAAGTGGGTTGCCATGACCTCCTCCAGGAGATCTTCCTGACCCAGGGATCGAATCCATGTCTCAAGTCTCCTACAGTGGCAGGCAGGTTCCTTACCACTAGCGCTACCTGGGAAGCCCACTAGTCCCCCTAGTAACTGGCAAAATTGGAGTTTAAACCAGGTCTGTCTAGATTCAGAGCTGGGGCCCTCACTACTATGAACCTTCTTTCTAAAAAAAATTCATTTATGTATTTATTTGGCTGCTCCAGTTCTTAGTTGCCTCATGTGGGATCTAGGACCTTTGTTGCAGTATATGGGATCTAGTTCCCTGACCTGGGATCGAAGCCAGGTCCCCTACATTGGGATCGTGAAGTCTTAGCCATGGGACCACCAGGAAATCCCCAGGAACCTTCTTAGTGTGTGCTATCCCAAGGTGACTAAGAGGATTAATGAATAAACACATGTAAAGCGCTTAGCACACCCTGCCCAAGGTAAGAAGCCAATAAGTGTGCACTTTTATTTAGAGCACTTCCTCCTGTGACTGCTTTCTCTAACTATGAAGTGCCAACTCAAATCTGAAGCGAGGGGAGCTGAACAGTATCTGGCCTGTTCTATCAGAGAATGGCGAAGAGAGAAAACAGTAGATGTGATTTTCACTTTTGCAAGTTGTTGAAGAGCTTCCCTGGTGGTCCAGTGGCTAAGACTCTGAGCTCCCAATGTAAGGGGTGCTGGGTTTGATCCCTGGTCAGGAAACAGTCTCACATATCGAAACTAGACTTCACGTGCCACAGCTAAGACTTTGCATGCCGAAACTAAAACCTCATTCCACAGTGAAGATCGAAGCTCCTGAGTGCCTCAACTAGGACCTGTCACAGCCAAGTATATAAGTAACTTTTTTAAAAAAGACATACTCAGGAACGTTCTGTCCTTAGATCACTCATATTTTTATTATTCTTTTTTTGCTGGTTTTATTTTTTATACAATTTTTAAAGGCTACACTCCATTTGGAGCTATTACAATAATACTGGCTATACTCCCCCATGTATACAACACAGCCTTGTAGCTTATCTTACATCCAACAGCTGGTACCAACCCCTCTCTCACCACTGGTCACCACTAGTTTGTTGTCTCTATCTGCGAGTCTGCTTCTTTCTTGTTATATTCACTAGTTGGTATTTTTTAGATTCTTTTATTGCTCCATTGACACAATGTGACCATAAGCCGAGGTAGAGCCCCAAACTGGAAGTCTAGACAGGTTAGGAATCAAGCCAGTACTCCCTGGAAACCTCTCAGATGTTAGCAACAATGAACAAAGACAGCAAAAAGGTGCAGTGCTCATCAGAGGCACAGGGGGTGTGTGTGTGTGTGTGTGTGTGTGCGCGCGCGCACACGTGCATGCGTGCACTCCTCTATCCAAGCTGCAGCTGCAGCATGCCTTTACCTCTTGTCCACCTCATTCTTCTTCTCAGAGGCCTTTCCCTACCTCCTGTCTCCTCAGACCCCACCACCACTTCCTTCCTTACTCATATGTCAGCCACCTACTTCACTTGCCCTTTTTCTCTCTGCTTCCACATTTTGGTCTTTGTATGAGTCAGCTATTGCCACAGTACTACTCTGTAACAAACTTCCCCCAAACTCAGTGACCTACGACAAGTATATATTCTTACCACTCATGAGTCTAGAGGTAAGCTAACCTCAATCTCCTTCAGGCTGCAGGTCAGATTGGCTCCAGGGT